AGAGACCAATGGCCAAGCATTGGGGACACTATAAAAGCCCTCTCACTTGAGAGGGTCAGATATCCAATATTCACCCTGAAACACTCATATTTTGTACTTGCTCTCTCTCTTGCTTGTTTTCTTACTTTAGCATCGGAGTGCCTTGCAGGTACACCTCCTCCTCCTCTTTCACACTCAGCATCATAGACGTTTATCTTTGGCCCACCTTAGGTTCTGATCAACCGGTAAGATCAACAACTCTCCCCTTTGACAACATCAAAAAGATATAGTTTGAAATACGTCTAAAGCTAAGGAAACAACCACCAATAGATAATTCCAATAAACATATGAGCTAAACAACTAAGAAGCATATAAAATAACAATGATCTCATATTAAACACGAAGATAGACATGTCACGAGCAACAAAATATAAATAGACATGCAACACCAACATTCACAAGCTAACCATTAAGTGATCAAACTTGTATGTCAATATATGCATTAACAAACATAAATAATGCATGAACAAGTATACAAAAGTTCAACTGCACATAATTAGCAACACGCATTTAAAATACTTAAATGTAAATAAGAACAATCAAAGACATAACCCAGAGATGAATGAGTAAGATATGGAGGAAATACGTAAACTAATGCATAACTCTAGAACAAATACATAGAATGATGTAGACCGAATACAAGGATTATAGAGACATATCATTGTGCTTCGGTAAAAGCTACGATTTACTACGAAATAGTGTTAGTGAAAACAGAACATATATAGCAAATGAAACTAAACACAATTCTCATTCTATTTAAGGCATGAAGAGCCTAAGACTCCCAAATCCTTACAAATCTTGTGAAAGGAATCCGATGATAATGACTTTGTAAAAATGTCAGCAAGCTGACTTTTAGTGTCAACGTGTTCAAAAACAACATCCCCTTTTTCCACATGATCTCTAAGAAAATGGTGTCGGATCTCAATGTGTTTGATTTGTGAATGTAGTACCAGATTCTTAATAAGACTTATAGTGTTACATTATTACACTTAATTGGAATGCAACCAAGTTTTAAATCATAGTCTAATAATTGTTGCTTTAGCCATAAGACTTGTGCACGACAACTACTAGAGGCTACATATTCAGCCTCAGCAGTAGAAAAATTAACATTATGCTGCTTCTTACTATTCCAAGAAACTAAACAATTTTCAAATAAGTGACAGGTACAACTAGTACTCTTCCTATCCAACTTGCACGCCGCAAAATCAAAATCAGAATATCCTACTAAGCTATAAGCACTTTCTTTAGGATGCCAAAAATCGTGATGTGAGGTTTCGTTAAGATACCTTAAAATACGTTTAACGATCTTAAAGTGGGAATCCCTAGGCGATATTTGATATCTAGCACACATGCACACACTAAACATGATATCTGGCCTACTTGCGATTAAATATAGTAAGGATCTGATTATACCTTTATACCTGGTTACGTCGAAATCAAATCCTCTTTCATCTTTGTCAATAAATACATTTGAGCCATTGATGTTGAGATACTCTTTGAATCTTTTATCTCAAAATTCTTGAGAAGCTCTAAGCAATATTTTGTTTGACTTATGAAAGTCCCTTCTTCGCCTTGCTTGATTTGTAATCCTAAGAAGTATGTTAGTTCTCCCATAATTAACATCTCAAGATCTCTCTGCACTAAACTAACAAATTATCGACAAAGAGATTCATTAGTAGACATAAAAATGATATTATCTACATAAATTTGAAATAAGAGAATATGTTTTTCCTTACGTCTTCTAAACAAGGTGATGTCGACTTTCCCTCGATTGAATCCTTATTAGTCAAAAATACCCTCAATCGCTTATACCAAACCAATGTTAGTGCATGAGACACTTTTAGTGAGGAGAAAAAAAGAAAGAATTAGGAAATAAGGATTGATATTATTGAATGAATGATAATAAAACTGAATTACAAAGTGTCTATTTATATACACCTAAGTGACTTAACTACTAAGCAATAAATATAACAAACTAAGTAACAAACCATAAACCCTAATCATCTATGGGCTTGGGTCACATAATTCAACTTTGATCATATCTAATATTTCAACATACCCCCAATAATCTAAGTTGTCGAAACACACTTATCATTGTCGATCTGAACTATTCCCAATTTCTTTTTCAATGTTAAGAACTTGTCGATCTTCTATCCTTTAATAAAAATGTCGGCCAATTGTGCTTCACTTAAGCAATGCATTACTTCAAGTTCACCTCTATTCACCTTCTCCTTTAATAAATTAAATCTAGCTTCGATATGCTTAGTTATTCCATGTAAAACTGGATTCTTTGCCAGATTTATGTCTAACTTGTTATCGATCTACAATATTAGAGGTTTCTTCACTTCGACCTCCATTTCTTCAAGCACAAATCTGATCTAAATTTCTTGACACGCAGCATAAAATCCTGCTATATATTCAGCCTCACACAATGGCAATGCCACCACAAGTTGCTTTCTCGAGCACCACGAGATTAGGGCACAAATACTTGAAAGAAATATTCAGTAGTGCTTTTTTGATCTTCCTTATCTCCACCCCAATCAGCATCTGAATAACAAGTAACCACAACTTCCTTGCTTTTAGAGTCTCGTCGAAATAAAATTCATAGTTTGTCTATTCTTTTAAGTATTTTAGGATTCTTCTTGCAGCCTTCACGTGTGACACCATTGGTTCACTTATATATCTGTTCACTAATCCGACTGAGAAACATATATCACGTCGACTGTTGCACACATATCTCAGAGATCTGACAATTTGTTTGAACAAAATCGCATCGACTTTGTCTTCCTCTCCATGCTTCTCCAACTTCAAATGTGGTTCGATAGACGGAGATGCAAGAGTCGAATCATCCGTTCTAAATCTCTTGAGTATCTCTTTGGCGTAATTTCTTTGATGTAGCATCATACCTTACTTCGACATTTGAAATTCCATGCCTAGGAAATACTACAACTTTTCCGGATCCGACATTTAAAATTCCTTTTTCATCAGCTTTTTGAACTTAGGCAAGTTCTTCAAGCTATTTCTAGTTACTGACAAGTCATCGACATATAAGCAGATGATTGTTATATATGACGTCACAACCTGAACATAGACACCATACTCAGATCTGCGTTTGACGAATCCCAATTTGACCAAGTATGAGGCGATCTTTTTGTTCCATGTCCTAGGTGCCTGCTTGACACCATAAAGCGTTTTTTGCAACTTGTATACTTTCCTTACTTCTTCCTGAATCACAAACCCATGAGGTTGTGTGACATAAACCTCTTCATCTAAAGGTCCATTCAAAAATGTTGATTTCTCATCTAAGTGAAATGTCGACCAGCCTTGATTGCATGACAAGGCTACCACAAGTCGAACAATTTCCAATCTTGTGACAGGTGCAAATACTTCAGAGTAGTCGAGTCTTGCTCTATGAAGAAATCTTTGAGCTACCAATTTTGCCTTATGTCTTGCTATCGACCCATCAACTTTGTGTTTCAACTTGAACACCCACTTCACTTTGACAAATTTTGTATGCGTTGACAATTCGACCAACTATCTTTTATTCTCGAATAAGTATCATAATAATAAAACACTTTCTTTGACAAAATGACACATGGTTCCACATGAAGTGCTATTCTCCAAGCTCTCATTGTTCTTTTAAGATCGGTGATAATGATGTAAACATCCATTTCCAACCTTAAATTCATGAGCAACCACCTTGTGACTTGGTTTAGATATCTCTGCCTATGGAACATTAGGAGGTGTAATATAGTTGGTTTGAACACATAATATAGTGATTTTTTTTCTTTCTATTTTTGCATTCTTTTTTATTTATTTTTCTCATGTAACCAAAACACAAAATTAAAAGAAAGTGCATGTTTGTTTCTATTTTTACCCAACATTTCTTATTGGTTGCTATAAGTACAAACATAGCATTGATGTTTTAAGCCTTCTTTCTGTTAAAAAACAAACAACTATAGAAAATCAAATTATATAATAATCCAACTCAAATTCTGTTATGAAACTACAAATTAAAACAAACACATCTTTTGATGAAGGTGGTGTTTATTGGTTATAACCATATATTGGCCATTTAGAATCATTTGGCAAACCGCACCTTGAACCTTTTCAAGGTGCCTAAGGTTTTGCCAAAATTTCTCTTAATAATCTCTGTATGCATGAGTGCATTTTGAAGGATTAGTTTCAACCTTAATTTGATTGAAGATTCCTTTCAATTCAACCTAACCTAGCTTCAATTCACGTGTATATATTTATTTATATCTTATAATTTTGATATGTTCCTGGTTATAGTTTTATTATTTTGTTCCTTTCTTTTTCTTTTGATCATTGTTTCAATTTTTCATTGGAATTGGAATTGGCATTTTTTATATGATTGATCATTCTTTTGTTGTATGCATATGATCATGTTTGGAAATGGACTCTATAATTGATTTGTAACTTTATGATATTTTCATCAACCTTTGCTTGCATTTATAGGTAAGATAAAAGGACAAATAGATATGGAATAAATTATCAATTATTATATAGTAATTAAAATAACTTGTAACGTGTTAGAGCATTTCGTGTTACTATTATCATCATGAATGAGTTACATGCATTGATACCAATCAATCTAGGGACTAGTCCCAAGATATGATCAATAGTTGAATAATTGAAAATGGTAGGTATATTTTGAAAAACTCAAACTCTTTGCAATTGATCATACATGAATCAAGGACATTTTTCATGAATAAGTCATTTTCTGATATCCATAAGAAATCTAAGTTTTCTCTCAAGTCAAAATAAGTTTGAATTTCATTCTATTTTTTATGTCACACTTACACCCTAACATAAATACTAATACTTTAGTGTTGTTGTTATTGACCTCAAATCCGCATTATTGCAGCTATGATGTATTATCTGTTTTAGACGTGAAAGATCTGTCGTCAAATCGGCATTATAGTAAGAAAAGAGGCATAATGAAAGAAGGATGTGGGAAAAAGTGTGTAGCTATAACAATTGGAATTGTGGTCTTAATTGTGTTGGCAATAGTGATCTTAGCATTCACAGTGTTCAAACCAAAACAAGTCATTAGCAAAGTGGATTCGATCGAGGTTCACGACATGAACATCAATTTCAATGTATTAACCATGAGTGTAAATATGAATGTGACATTGGATGTTAGTGTATCGGTGAAAAATCCAAATGTGTATGCATTAAAATACTACAACGGAATGGCGCAACTAAATTATAGAGGACAACAAATCGGGGAAGCACCTATCCTTTGCGGAGAGATATCAGCTAGACAAACTACGAGAGTGAATGTGACACTCACTCTTATGGCAGACCGTGTGTTATCTAGTACGCAGATTTTTTCAGACGCTAGTGCAAATATTCTGCCACTCAACACATTCGTGAGAATTTCAGGCGAAGTGAATATATTAGGGCTTTTCAAATTTCATGGAAACTCGACCTCGTCTTGTAATTTCAATGTACTGATTTCCGACAAAAAAATTAAGAACAATGTATGTGAATATAAGACAGAGACAGAGATTTGATGTGTTTTTGAAGTGTTGGATTTTTTATGTTAGGTTGGAGAAGGAAGAGTAAAAAGGAAACTTTTTTGTTAATTGCTATCCTTTCATTTTGAAACACCTTTCATGCTGGATTTGGTCAACTAATCTATGTTTAGTTATATAGAAACTGTGGCTATACCTTGTAATATGAAGTGGTTAGTTTTATATTTTCATTATTCGGTCGTAAGTTAATTTTTCTGGTGCTGTGTTGTGGTTGAATCTGCCTCCAACTCTGTACGGAAGTATCATCACTAATTTGCTTAATCTTAGCATTTCTTTATGTTACTAATAATAGCGGATACATACTAAAGGTTTAGTTATAATTTTAATTCATACAATTACTGTTTTATTTAATTTTATATATATATATATATATATATATATATATATATATATATATATATATATATATATATATATATATATATATATATATATATATATATATATATATATATATATATATATATATATATATATATATATATATATATATATATATATATATATATATATATATATATATATATATTAGCCTATGTATTTATTTTTAAAAATTTAATATTCAAAATTTTCAAAATTGTTCCTTTTAGTTTTTAACGTCATAGGTTGTGTAATAAATAAAGCCATCTAAAAATTGATGTTGAAGACTTAAAACAATAATTTTTTTAATTTATAAATATAAATTTAAATAAAAATAATTATGTAAACTAAAACTAAAAAATTATTGTAGTTAAATAGACTAAAAATATATTTAAATCGTTAATAAATTTGACATTCTTAGCATGAAAAAAGGTGAATCAATAAATGACATTGAATTTGATCGATTAAATTCTATTTCATATCATTTTCTTTAAACAATCCTCTCTGTGTGTATGCGCGTGTGCATGTGTATGCGTGCGCGTGTGTGTATGCGTGCGCGCGCGTGCGTGTGTTTGTGTTGTGTGTATGTGTGCGCGTGTGCATATGTGTGTGTGTGCGCGCACACACATGTTTGTGCGCGCGTGTGCGTGTGTGCGCGTGCATGTGTGGTTGTGTGTGCGCGCGTGTGTGCGTGTGCATGTGCGTGTGCGTGCTTGTGTGTGTATGTTGTGTGTGTGTGTGTGTGTATGTGTGTGTGTGTGTGCGCGCGTGCGCGCGTACGTGCATGCTTGTGTGTGATAAAAAAACAATAAGAATATAACATGTTTTTTAAGTTAACTTTTTATTATACCATTCAAGCACAGTTTCAATTCAAAAGAGATATCGGAAAAGAAAAATTCCTCCAAACCTGAAACAAAGAACACAACAAAGAATACACAAGTTGTTCATCTAAACAACTTTGATAATTCTGAAAATCCTCTCATGACAACATTGTTGTATGCATAAAATTACCACACATGGGCAAGATCGATCAATATGGCTTTGTGTGCGAAGACGAAATTGGATTTCATTGATGGAAGCTTCAAGAAACCATCAAGTCAATCTGAATTGTACCATGTCTGGGAGAAGGTGGATTCAATGATGACAACTTGGTTGATCAATGCAACATTACCAAATCTACACAACAGCATCTCACATGCTTCAACGACTCAAGATGTGTGAGTGGATCTTGAAGAACACTTTGCTCAGACCAATGCACCATGAATCCATCAGTTGTGGAGAAACTTGTGTTAATGCAAAAACAACCAGAAACCATTTGGGATGAGTTTTGAATTTAATTATTTATCCTCGTTTGAGTTTGGAGCGAGGAATGAGTATTTAACTAGGATTTGGGTTGGGTAAAGAGAAGGCAAAACTCGTCCTTGCCCTGCACCGTTGATGCTAGAACAAAACTCAAGCACTCAACCACATAATCACACGAAAGAGGCACACGAGATTACACGTTAAAGCTTTGTTCATACACACACACACACACAGACACACATACATACACACACACACACACACACACACACACACACACACACAGAGTTTTGCACCTTGAGAATGAATGAAAAAGACGAAGATTGAGAAAAGAGAGTAATCACACTTGCACTTATTGTTCAATGATTATAATACAAGATTATATATAATTGTAGCTTGCACTCCAATGAATCAACAAACTCTAACTAACCACACTTCTCCAACTTGTTAATAATATGATTTTAACACAAACAAACTATTACTTGTATTTCAAATATCTACAAGTGAGACACTAATGAATTACTATCAAACCTAATTAATTGTAGCCAAGTTCTCTACACTGATTAAACTTATAAGCTTCTTAAACATCTCTGCTTCAAGTTCCATTGTCATGATGTTTGCAATTTGGTATTCACTTCTGCAATTCTCTAGGCACAATCTCCCATTGCTAGCTTGCTCTCTAACATATTGGAATCCCATATCTATATGCTTTCTTCTTCCATTTGCAGCATAATATTTGACCAAGTTTATGTATGAAATGTTGTCAATTTTCATGGTGATAGCTCCATCATGTTTACCTTCAACTTCATCAATTATATTCACCAACCATATAACTTGGCATGCATATAGTGATGTTGCAATGTACCCTACTTCACATTAGGACAAAACCACCATAGCTTCCTTTCTTAATCTCTAATCTACCTATGCACCACCTAGCATGAACACATAACCTATTATTAATTTTCTATTATCAACATCACCACACCAACTGGAATTAGTGTATCCAACATGCTTACACACATTTCCTTTCTTTGTTGTTAGAAACAAGATTCTAGAATCCAATGTGCCTATAATACACCTTGGTATCCTCTTAGTGTCTGCTAGATTTGACAACTTTGACTTTTACATGAATCTACTTACCATACCTACACTGTATGCAATGCTAGGTCTTGTGTCGCAAAAATATTTAGTGATCCAATAAGCCATATGTATTATGTTGGATAAATATCTCTTTCATCTGAGTCCTTTATCAACTGCAATCTAGGCTCAATTGGTGTTGTTGCAGAGTTTTAGTGTTCCATCTCAAATCTCTTGAGTATTTCACTTGCGTACCTTTTTTTGATGCATCAACGATCTCCTACTAATCTTGTAAAACCCAATTCTAATGAAATATGAGATGTGACCAAGATTTGTCATATCAAATTCCTTTATTAAATCCAGCTTGAAATCATCAATTTCCTTCTCACAATTGGCAATGATTAGAAACTCACCAACATATAGGCATATGACTATTAACTCATTATTGTTTCTCCTTCTAAGATATAAACCATGCTCATATGCACACTTCATGAATCATACCTCTCTTAGGAAGCCATCGATCTTCTTATTCCAAGCTCATAGAGCTTACTTATGCCCATATAAGGCCTTATGCAGTTTGTACGCTTTAATTTCCCGACATTCTTTCTCAAAACCAACTGGTTGTGATACATACACTTCTTTGTCTAAAGGACCATTCATAAAAGCACGTTTTACATTCATCAGACACATGGACCAATTGTTGATATTTTCTAAAGAAACAATTAATCTTAATGTTTCAATCCTGGAAACAGGTGTAAAGACTTTATCAAAGTCAATGCCTTATTTTTAAAGTAACCCTTTGGCCACAAGCCTTGTTTTGTGTTTGATCATTTCACCTTTTGGGCTTAGCTTCACCTTGAATACCCACTTCACATCAATAATCTTTTTGTTCGGTGGTAAATTAACAAGTTACCAAGTTGCGTTAACCTTTATAGAGTCTATCTCCTCTATCATAGAACTCAACCATTTATGACCCTTCAATGCCCCAGTCACACTTATTGGTTAATTATCTACATAAAATGCAGTGTACTAGATCACCTTGGTGACTGACCATATTATCTTGTGTGATTACACATTTTTGTACTTTGTATTGAATATTTTTAGCTCTTTGAGGTTTGGTGGTATCTGCTTGAGTGTGGGCTTCAACTTTACTACTTGGTTCTTCATACACAATTCTCACTAAATCCTTATTAGAACTATGAATCCAAACCCATTTTTTAAATTCATCTATGACCATATCTCTTCTAATCATTATTTGCTTGCTCAAAGGATCAAATAACTTGTATCCATCATATGAATGATAACCAATCAAGATCATTTGACTTGATTTGTCATTAAGCTTCCTCCTTAATTGATCAGGCACATGTTTATATACAACATATCCAAACACATTTAAGTGACTCAAGCTTGGTTTGACACCTAACGTAAATTCTTCTATTGTGATTCCTTCTAACCCCTTAGTTGGACACCGGTTTAATATGTGTGTACTAGTGTACATAACCTTACTAGGGGTTTAAGGTGAGAAAAGTACACAAGAAAAGGTGGGGGAGTTGAATTGTGTTTTCCATTTTCTTAATTTATGTCTGATCAGAGTTCAGAATCTAAACAGTTGTTCAGATTCTGGTTATACTTAGTAACAGAATGTTAACAAAAGTAAATAAATAATAGCAAAAGACAGAAAGATTTATATTGATTCCTCCTAAATGAAAGTAGTCTAGGATGAGTCATAATAAGAACAATATCTTGTTCTTAGCAGAATCTTTGATTTCATTGTCTTGGATTAAATCTTTGACAAGCATAAAACCAGATAGTGTTAGCTATCATAGATTAGCATAAAGAAAATTAAAGCACTATCATATAATTGTTGGCAGAACATGAAGAAAAATTGAAGGTTTCTCATAAAGTTGTCCTTTAACATAAATTCCATGATGCCCTCAATCAAGGAGCAATGGAGTCACTTAAGATATCACCATAAAGAACAGACTCCTTATTATCAAATATTGAAGCAAGATAGATTTGGCATAATCTCTTTCTCTTAAATACTTGATTTTTATTCCAGGATTCAGATGCTTCTTCAAAAGCAATAATGATCGGCAGAGCCAAATTACTCATTCTTCTGAGTCCTGCACTAATGTTAACTTCAAATGAATATGCAATGAAGACCTCTAACATTAGGTTCTGGTAGTGTTTCTCCTTGTTCTTAGATTTGAGAAATCAGTTCAAATACGAATATCTTAAAG